CGCAAGGGGAAGACCGTGGTGTAGCGCGTGTAGTCGTCGACAACCAGCAGGAAGTAGCGCTCTCCTCCCTGTCCACGGACGCGGGCTGGGCCCCAGACGTCCATGTGAAGGGTCTGCAGAGGGGCCTCCGTCGGGGGAAACTCCGAGGAGTGAGGGGTGGCACGCTGCCGCCCCTCGACACAGGGAAGGCAGGGAGGGGCAGGGGATGGTGGCAGGGGAGGCAGTGACCTGGGGAGACCAGAGACAAGGTAACGGGAGTGCATGCCACGAAGGCGCTGCATCGAAGGGTGCCCAAGGCGGTGGTGCCAGAGGACCGTCCGGTGCGACAGGGTGCGACACGAACAGGGGGCGGACAAGTGACCTGACGCAGACGCAGACGCCGCTACCTGAGGGGACTCAGTGGTCAGTGTGTACAAGTCCGACCCCGGCTGCCGAGTGAAGGTAGCCAGGTGTCGACCCGTGTGGGCACACGTGCAGTGTGTCACACGCTCGTAGGCAAGGGTGAACTGGTGAACACCCGCATCCTGGAGCGCGGAACCCGCCACCAAGTTCGTAGAGAACGAGGGGAGGTAAAGGCCCGACAGGGTGCCGGACGGGACAGCAGGACAAGGGAGGGCAGTGGTGGAGGTCGCAAGGACCGGACCCCCGGAGGGGTCAGCCAGGGAGACAGCAACCGGCCTAGGGAGCTGCTCGAGGGCAGTGCGGTCGCGAAAGAAACAGCGAGAAGCACCAGAGTCCAGTGTGAAGGTGTGCAGTGCCTCAGTAGACGCAGTACCTGAAGGCGCAGACTCACAAGTACCTGAAGCAGCAGACACACCTGCACCTAGAGCAGCAGCCTCACCAGGACCTGGGGCAGCAGACACACTAGCACCTAGAGCGGCAGCCTCACTGGTCGCAATGACTGGGTCTGGTGGCACACACAAGTAACAGTCACCCTCAACACCAATAGTCAATGCATACATGGCTCCAAGGATAACATCAAAGTCAAGTGCAAAGACATCAATGTTCTTTTTAAGCAGATCAGCCCAGCGGGGCAGCTCAGAGGCCTCAGGGAACTGTGCACGCCAGGCGTCGTCGAGACGGAAGAAGCAGCGCTGTTGCGTGTGGAACCGCCCACACGTCTGACCAGCGCGGTCACCTGTGCGGATGACATACATGCAGGTACCCCCGCCCCCAGACCCCCCATGCTGAGAGTACCACTCACGAAGCTGCTGGGACGACGGGGTCTCTCCAAGACGCTGCTGCTGGCGCTGGACACCACCCGAGCCACCACGCTGCGCCGGTCCACCCCGACCACCACCCGAGCCGCCACCCCCACGCCCACTGCCTCCACCACCACCACCTCCACCCCGACCTCCTCCACCACCACTGCCGCCACCACCCCCGCCGCTGCCACCCACCCCCCCAGCCTCGCTACCACCCCCGCCACCGCCACCACCCCCACCGCCCCCACCGCCGCCACCTCCACCTCCACCTCCACCTCCACCTCCCCCGCTAGCACCACCACCACCCTTGCCCCCCTTGCCCTTGCCGCCCTTGCGCCTCCAGCTAGGAGCAGACGCAGCCCCGACTTCCTCAGCACCAAGGAAGTCGACAGCGGCAGCAGAGGCAACCGAGGGGAGAAGGGGGGGAGGGGAACACCCGTCAAAGAAGGGCGTGCGGGGGTCGCCACGAGAGGCACCTACAGCAACTATGCTAGACTCAGCTGCAAGCAGATGCTTCTCGAGGAGGTCAATGGTGAGCTCGGTGGGGCAGAGGTCAAGAAAGTGGTCCCTGAATGCGCGAAGAGAGTCAGGGAGACGAGTGACTAGGTGGTAGAGAACGAGGTACATCGGGGGGGGATTCTTGGCGAGGAACTCAGCAAGAAGGGTGGCTCGGTAGCGAGTGTCACTAGTGCGGAGGTGGGTAATGAGGTCAGCGACTGTGGGAAAGGCGGCGAGATCGGGGAAAAGATAGGGCAGCAAGAGACGGCCTATCGTAGCAGAGGCAGGCGAGGAGTAGCGAGCGACGACTGCATCGTACAGTGCCTTAGCAGTCTTATGCTGGCCGAAGTGGGCGCGCTCATCTAATGGCAGGTGGCTGCGAATGGCTAGGCGAGCGTGGGCGTCACGAGTCTGCCACTGGGAGCGAGCGGTACTGTCAGCAGTGTCAGCAGGCGCTAGAGCGGTTCCGGACGCGTGGTCATACAGCGAGACATCGTCCTTAGCGGTGATCTGGAGGAACAGATGCAGATCGTCAAGCCAAGCTTCAAACTGGAGCGGGCGGCCCTCAGCATCGAAAGTGAGAACTGTGGGAGAGGCCATAGTGGCAGTAGCAGCAGTAGCAGCAGTAGTAGTAGTAGTAAGAGCAGTAGCAGTAGCAGCTGTAGTGAGAAGAACAGCTGTAACAGCAGGAACAGGAACAGCAGGTGCTGCAGGTGGGGCGGCGCAGCTCGATCAGGACGGCGTGGCTCGGGCGGCGCGACTCGGGCGGCGCGGCTCGGGCAGGTAGGGCGGCTCGACGGCGGGCCCGTGCTCTGTGCGTGGCGGCGCCTAGGGTGCAGCTGCGCGCAGGCCGCGGCTGGGTTCGTGCTGCAGCTAAGCGCGAGCTGCAGCTAAACGCGAACTGCAGCAGCCGAAGCGCGACCGCCACTGCGCGTGGGTTGCGACCTCCGGGCGGGCGGCGGTGGGTCGTGCGCCGTCCTAGGGGCGAGCGGTCGAGCGTGGGCTGCAGTCGCGCGCGGGCGGCGGCCTACGAAAGCAGGGGCGGCGGCCTACGAAAACGACGCGGCTGCCTACGGGCGGGGCTGCGTCGCGCTGGAAGGGCCGCCGGGCCGGTCGACGGGCGGCTAACGGGCTGCTCGTGGGCGGCGCTAGTCACGTGTGCGGCCTACGGTCGTCGCGCGCGCGGTTCGGGCCTTGCACGGGTGGCTAACGGGCGGCGCGCGCTAGAGAAAACAGGCCGCGCGCGGGCGGCTAGCGAGCTGCGCACGGGCAGCGTGTAAGAGAGAGGCGCACGAGGGCGCACGAGGGCGTGACGGCGAGAAGGCGCTCGAGGGCGCTACTAGCGGAAGCGGTCCTAGGTTCCTAACCTAGGCTCGTAATACCATGTTAGAATTGTGTACCCCCTAAGGCTAAACCCACTATAGCCTACATAACTATAACATATATAATGTTTGACAACTTCGTCACGGGGTTACCTTCGAACCCTGGGGGTAACGACGCGGTGATGGTCGTCGTTGACAGGTTGACGAAGATGGCACACTTCGCTGCGTGCAAAAAGTCGATCTCAGCCGAGGAGACCGCTCGCCTGTTTATCGCAGTCGTTGTTCGCCTGCACGGGATACCAGCAGCGATTATCAGCGACAGGGACACGAAGTTCACCAGCAACTTCTGGAAGAACCTCTGGGAGCAGTTCGGGACACGGCTACAGTTCAACTCGTCGTACCACCCCGAGACCGACGGTCAAACGGAGCGGACGAATCAGACGATGGAGCAGTTAATTCGTGCCACGTGCGACGACCCCACGACTTGGGAGCAGCAGCTGCCGCTGATCGAGTTCGCGTACAACAACGCCACGTCAGCGACGACGCAGCAGTCCCCCTTCTACCTGAACTACGGGCAAAACCCTACAGTGCCCCTGACGCCGAGTCCGGACAACCCAACACCACGTGCACAGCAATTCGCCGAAATTCTGCAAGCTGCCTGCACCAGAGCCGCAGAAGCAATTAAAAAAGCCAACGTCATCGCTAAGCGCAACGCTGACCGCCACCGCCGCCCAGTCACGTACCAGTCAGGAGATTACGTACTGCTCGACACGCATAACTTAAGACTGCCCGTCGTACCGAAATTACGACCCCGCTACTGTGGACCATTCCAAATCAGCCACATGATTACCCCAGTAACAGCTCACCTACTGTTGCCGACGGACTGGTACATCAGCCCTTCATTCCACGTCAGCTTGCTTCGCCCATACATCCCAACCACAAGCCAACTGCCTCGCCACCGCCCGCCATCCATGACTCGCCCTGCATCGGAGCCGATCATCGAGCCCGAAAAAATTATGAGCCATCGGATTCGCCACCCCACGGGAATCAGGAGGATTGAATTCCTCGTTCGCTGGAAGGACCGCACGCCAACTAAAGATAGCTGGGTGCCCCTGGCCAACATCGAAAACCACCCTACCCTGCAAGTGTACCTGAGGAGCTGGGGATTCCGCGATATATGCGCACTCGCGTAGCGGAGGGGGCTTCTTGAGGGGGGGGGGGTAGTGTAAGGAATTTTCTCGGCATTCCTTACGGAGCCCGACTACATCGCATACAGCAACAGCCGTTGTTCGCCCGTTACTGCTAACGGGGCTTCGCCAACTTCGCGCGCACTGTTTTGCCAAACCTCGCACTGCTGGCCCGGCCGTGTCGGCCTGGCCTACGCTTCGTGACTAGCCCGAGCCTCGCTGCCAGCATAGCACTAGCTAGCTCGCACGCACCGCGTTACCGTTTGCATGTTTCGCGTATGAATGTTCGCTCATGCCTTCGCTCACATTTTGTACTCGTTTGACACCTTAGTGCAATCCTCGCTACCTTGATCCATTGCACCCGTAACACCATGTCTATATTAGAATGCGTCACATGCCTTGAGATTTGTGTGGAGATTTGTGTATAGATGATGACTAAAACAAAAGACACGCTGATGGATCCCTGCCCTACATGATGATAAAACAGAAGACGCATGCTGCTGCGAAACGTACCTACCTACACACTCTGTAAGGCATTATCTCTAAATTCAAGAACCGTTGCAACTTGCTAACAGTTCTGCGAGTGATCAGCTCCTACAGAAAGCTGTGATCAGCTGCCCTGATGTGCCACCGCAGTCAAACGTGGTTGCCGTAGCAGCTGTCAAGCTCCTCAAAAATCCCCTTCCTAACCCTTGCACCTGTATCAACTCTCTTCCTTTCACCCCTCACGCCCTCATTTCACTCCGTCCCCTCACCACAGGCACTGCTCTCGCCTCACCAACACCCTGTTAAGTCACCTCCCTCGTCTCAGCACCACGCCCTGCCTTTCTCTCTCCTCCTTCCTCTGCTGAAATGCCGCCACCTGCTTCTCTAACTGAAGCACCCACACGTTGAGGGAGAGAACGGAGGAACACGGGAAACGGGAGGAGGGAGGGAGAAAGAGCAGAAGTCAGGAAAGACGATATGATTCTCTCTCCTCCTTCCTCCGCTGAAATGTCGCCATCTGCTTCTCCAACTGAAACAACCACACGTTGATGGAGGGCACGCGGGGGAGGATGGGAGGAAGGGAAGGGCGCGGAAGGGGGAAAGAGCAGGGGTCAGAAATGGCAGCAGGGTTGCCTCTCCTCCTTCCTTTGCTGAAATGCCGCCATCTGCTCTTCCAACTGAAGCAACCACATGTAGGGGGAGGGAACAGAGGACGAGGGGACGGGGGGTTGGGGGGAACACGGGAAACGGGAGGAGGGAGGGAGAAAGAGCAGAAGTCAGGAAAGACGATATGCTTCTCTCTCCTCCTTCTGCTACTGAAATGCCACCACCTGCTTCTCCAACTGAAGCAACCACATGTGGAGGCACGAAACAGGAGAGGAGGGGAGGAGGGAAGGGGGAGAGGAGGGGGGAGGGCAGGGAGAGGAGAGGGAAAGAGGAGTAGGGGGAGAGAAGCCACCTCAGTGTTGGCTGTTGGCAGCAGCTTTACCTGAGCTTTTCGGTTGACTGCACCGTGTCACACAGCTCCCACCTCAGAATTCTGCACATGTCACGGTGCATGTGTCACGGTGCATGTGTCACGGTACATGTCTTCTGAGAGAAGCCACCTCAGTGTTGGCTGTTGGCAGCAGCTTTACCTGAGCTTTTTAGTTGACTGCACCATGACACACAGCTCCCACCTCAGAATTCTGGCTGACTGCTCTAGACACAAGGGACTCACAATACCACCTCACAAGCAGACTCGCCATAGCTAACTGCACTCGCCACAGCTAACTGCACTCGCCACAGCTAACTGCACTCGCCACAGCTAACTGCACTCGCCACAGCTAACTGCACTCGCCACAGCTAACTGCACTCGCCACAGCTAACTGCACTCGCCACAGCTAACTGCACTCGCCACAGCTAACTGCACTCGCCACAGCTAACTGCACTCGCCACAGCTAACTGCACTCGCCACAGCTAACTGCACTCGCCACAGCTAACTGCACTCGCCACAGCTAACTGCACTCGCCACAGCTAACTGCACTCGCCACAGCTAACTGCACTCGCCACAGCTAACTGCACTCGCCACAGCTAACTGCACTCGCCACAGCTAACTGCACTCGCCACAGCTAACTGCACTCGCCACAGCTAACTGCACTCGCCACAGCTAACTGCACACACCTGCCCTTTCCTATCGACTGCGTGATGACAAAACGGACTGGACATAAGTCTCAGCATGCGGACTCACCACAAACTGCACTCACCTGGGCGTTCAAGTCGCGCCCTACATGTCTTATCGCCGCAATCTGCTGCGTCAGCTCCGCTACAAAACAAGAAGCACTCAAGACAAACCTGGGCGTTGCGGTTGAGGTAGGTGGTAAGATTATCCACCAGCGCCGCCATTTTGCTGCCATGGTGTTGTTTGGAGAGATTCCAGAAAACCACATGCAACAAGAAAGCTGCTTCAAGCCACACCACACCACACTCACCTGCGCGTTGCGCTTGCGGTAGGTGATAACATTATCCACCAGCGTGGCCACCTTGCACCTCATCTCCGCTATCTGCTGCATCAGCTCGCGCTCCCTCTCTGATGGCAGCTCCACCTGCATGCATGCATGCATGCATGCCATCGGAACGCCAACGATCAGGGCGACAAAAACAAAGGTGAAAATGACAACAATAACGGAGCTCGCTGAAGCGAGTGAAGCGGAAGAGCATGCGGCGTACCTTGATGCCTCCCAGCAGCGCTGCTTATTTTTGGGATTCGCTTTGAGAGTCCTTAAAAGTGACTCTTTAATGAAAGAGCATGTGGCGTACCTTGATGCCTCCCAGCAGCGCTGCTTATTTTTTATATTCGCTTTGAGAGTCCTTAAAAGTGACTCTTTAATGAAAGAGCATGCGGCATACCTTGATGCCTCCCAGCAGCGCTGCTTATTTTTGGGATTCGCTTTGAGAATCCTTAAAAGTGACTCTTCCATGAAAGAGCATGCGGCGTACCTTGATGCCTCCCAGCAGCGCTGCTTATTTTTGGGATTCGCTTTGAGAATCCTTAAAAGTGACTCTTCAATGAAAGAGCATGTGGCGTACCTTGATGCCTCCCAGTAGCGCTGCTTATTTTTGGGATTCGCTTTGAGAATCCTTAAAAGTGACTCTTCAATGAAAGAGCATGTGGCGTACCTTGATGCCTCCCAGCAGCGCTGCGTATTTTTGGGATTCGCTTTGAGAATCCTTAAAAGTGACTCTTCAATGAAAGAGCATGTGGCGTACCTTGATGCCTCCCAGCAGCGCTGCTGACTGCTCTGGATTCTTAATCTCTGAAAGAGGGAAAAAGGAAAGGATGGGAGATAACAGAGGGAGCACAGCAGGGGATGAAAGGCTTCTGAGGCACCTGGCTGGAATGACTAGCGTTTGCCCAAACAAAAAGGAGCATCAGCAGGGGGGGGATGGGATGTTACATATGGGCACGGCAGATGTGAGAGGGCAGCGAGACATGGTCTCATCACAAGCAGGGAGAGGCACAATACGAGCAAGTGTTGACTTAAATGAGGCGCCTGAAAAAGGCCAGCAGGAGCAGGAGGACCGGAAAAGTAGTGAAGGGCATAGGAGTGAGCATGCCAACATGCTGACATGGATCTCACCTGGATGTGCGTCTGAGAGCTCTTTGATGAGTGTGAAGAGCACCTCCTGTGGTTCAACAGTGCGTGGCAACACATGGCAATGCAGGGCAAGACATGGGAATGCATTGAAACACATGGCAAACACAAGACACACGCGAACAGAATGCCTCTTTAGAATTCTTAGAAATATTCCACAAGAACCTCCAGTGCATCAGCAACACAAGGCACATACGAACAAAAGGTTTCTGAAAAGGGAGGAAACGAGAGAGACACGCACAAGAACAAGATAGCTGCTGAGATGAGAGGTACTGAGAGCCTTATGTAGGAAGTATCATTTCATGTATCGGACACAGTGGCAGCAGAGGGAGCAGAGGGGCTCGGCTCGTGGCAGCAGAGAGAGGAGTGATGGCAGGTGTGTCATAGCACACAGCACATAGCAGAGCAGAGCACAGCACAGCACAGAAGGGCAGAGAAGAGAACACCACAGCGCAGAAAAGAAAAGCAGAGCAGAGCACAGCGCAGAAGAGAAGAGCGAAATGTAGTGTACCTGCTGCTCCGAAGCATGCCTGAGTAACGCTCTCAAGTGGGGAACGACAATAAGAGCATCGGAGACAGCGGAGGCAGAGGAGGCAGAGGAGCGAGCAGGTGCAGAGAGGATGGTGGAGGGCAGCGAGTGCACCGATGGCAGGGAGGCCCGACCTGAGGGCTGCACGAAAGGATGGGTGGTGAAGATGATCAGTAGAGAGAGAGGGAGAGGAGTCGTTTAGGAGATTTGAGAAGCAGGCGCAGAGAGGATGGTGGAGGGCAGCGAGTGCACTGATGGTAGGGATGCTCGGCCTGACGGCTGCAGGGAGGAATGGGGGGTGAAGCATGAACAGTAAGGCAAGAGAAAGAGTTGTTTAGGCAGTCCAAGAAGCAAGGGTAGAGAAGAGGACGGTGGAGGGCAGCGAGGATTCTGGTGGAGGGCAGCGAGGATTCTGGTGGAGGGCAGCGAGGATTCTGGTGGAGGGCAGCGAGGATTCTGGTGGAGGGCAGCGAGGATTCTGGTGGAGGGCAGCGAGGATTCTGGTGGAGGGCAGCGAGGATTCTGGTGGAGGGCAGCGAGGATTCTGGTGGAGGGCAGCGAGGATTCTGGTGGAGGGCAGCGAGGATTCTGGTGGAGGGCAGCGAGGATTCTGGTGGAGGGCAGCGAGGATTCTGGTGGAGGGCAGCGAGGATTCTGGTGGAGGGCAGCGAGGATTCTGGTGGAGGGCAGCGAGGATTCTGGTGGAGGGCAGCGAGGATTCTGGTGGAGGGCAGCGAGGATTCTGGTGGAGGGCAGCGAGGATTCTGGTGGAGGGCAGCGAGGATTCTGGTGGAGGGCAGCGAGGATTCTGGTGGAGGGCAGCGAGGATTCTGGTGGAGGGCAGCGAGGATTCTGGTGGAGGGCAGCGAGGATTCTGGTGGAGGGCAGCGAGGATTCTGGTGGAGGGCAGCGAGGATTCTGGTGGAGGGCAGCGAGGATTCTGGTGGAGGGCAGCGAGGATTCTGGTGGAGGGCAGCGAGGATTCTGGTGGAGGGCAGCGAGGATTCTGGTGGAGGGCAGCGAGTGCATAGAAGGTAGGGAGGCTGCACAGGTCGGTGCGGGGAGGGTGAGGCGGTGGGTGAGGATGAGAGAGAACGAGAGGGTGGATGTTTTAGGTCGAATTAGAACGCAGAGAGGATCGTAGGGAGAATGTACAGATGGCAGGGATGCTCAACTAAATAGATGAGTGTGTTGCTGCAGGGATGGTTGGTGAACTCGGATGGGACAGAACTAGGGTAACTAGGGCAGGGTGTACCTTCTTTGACTTTTGAGACATCTCAAAACTAGGGCGTTTCTAGGGCAGGGTGTACCTGGTTTGACTTTCGAGATGTCTCAAAAATAGGGCGTTTCTAGGGCAGGGAGTACCTGTTGGTTTGACTTTTGAGGCATCTCAAAACTAGGGCGTTTCTAGGACAGGGCGTACCTGGTTTGATATGCTTTGGAGCATGAAGGAGAGGGAGGGCATGGAGGAGGGCGGCAGCAGGGAGCGAGCGAGGGAGGCGGAGGAGAAGGAGGAGGAGGAAAGGACGACACCCTTCACTGGCCTGAGGGACGCCACAGACGGGCTCTGATTGGTGGAGCAGGCGGGAAGAGAAGGGGGGGTAGACGTGGGGGGAGAACGGGGGAAGAAGGGGAAACGGCTTTTGAGGTGTCTCAAAGGACAACACCTTTATGGGCCTGAGGGACGCCACGGACGGACTCTGATTGGTGGAGAGGAGAGGGGAGTATGGAAAAAGGGGGAACAGGATGGTGGATGTGGGAAATGGTGGGGGGAAAGGGAAGGGGGAGGGAGGAGGGAATGAAAGGATAGGATGGAGTATGAGAGAAGTGAAACTCCTTGGTAATCACTTTTGAGAATTCTCAAAAGAGAAACGGCAGATATATATTGAGGGCCTACTGGTGATTCAGAGGCAAGCTTGTGGGCGTGAGTAGCGGAGCGGGCGGAGAGGGGGGCGGGGAGGGCGGGAGGACGGGGGGAAGAGATTTGGGAGACAGTGGGAGGGAGGGGGTCCGAAAGTAGCAAGCCAAGGCGAAGGGACAAGTAGAGGTGTGTGCAACAGGGAGACAGAGACACACGCAGGTAGTGAGAGAGAGGAGCACATTAGCGCGCATGACATGTGGGCAGGACAGACACAGTAGAGTTGTAGTGTTTCTAGATAACAATAATTAAAACAAGAAACATTAAGGCTGTAATATTTGGGTTACGAGCACTGTAAGACGGGGAAAGGAACGCAAACACACCGATGGCTGGGTGCGAGACGATGAGACGGACGACCGCCGATGCAACAACTGCTGCTGCTGCTGCTGCTGCTGCAACAGAAGCTGCATTTGCTGCTGCTGGTTCTGCAGCTGCTGCCTTTGTAGCAGGCTTTGCTGCTGCTGCTGCTGTGCGTTGAGGTGTCTCCTCGTGCGAGGAGTCACAAGCAACCCTGAACCTGCTCCCCCACCTGCTGCTGCTGGTGCTGCTGCTGCAGCTGGTGTTGTGGGAGTGGAGTGGGCCGAAGTGGGAGAGGAGGAGACCTGATGGAAGAAGGGGTCCGATGGAAGGGAGAAAATGGGGCAAGAAAGAGAGAGCATGTGAGTGTGCGTGCATGCATGCATGTGAGTGTGCGTGGCTGTGTGTGCATGTGTGTGCGCGCGCGTGTGTATGCGCGCATGCGTGTGTGAGTGTGTGTGCGTGCGTTTGCAAGTGTGCATGGGGATGCACGTGCGTGCATGCACTCCTGCGTGCGCGCGTGTGCGCGCGCTCATGTGTGCGAGTTAGGAGGAAAGAGGAGATAAGTCGGAGCACAGGCAGCAATAGGCAGTCCACAACACTGGCAGGCAGTCATAATAACTCTTATCCTGCTCTTCACCTGAAGTGTCATCTCATTTTAACATTCATCTGAGCTCTCACCTCATTCCAGTATTCACCTGCACTGAAGTCCGCCGAGTGCCCTGCTGCCCCAGCTGCACCTTCACCAATCCACCCGCCCCTGCTGCTGCTACAGCCGCTGCTGTACCCACTCTTGCTGCCCCTGTCCCTGTCCCTGCTGCTGCTGCTGCTGCCCCTGGCACAGACGCAATTGGATTCCCTTTTGAGGGAGTGAGGGGAGCAGCAGAGATGAGGGAGGAGGAGGAGGACGAGGAGTGGAGGGAGGGGAGGGGGCCCGAGGAGGAGGATGTGGAGGAGGTACGAGGGGAGGGTGCTGCTGCAGCGGACAGCGGCCCGCTTGCAGACGCCATGGAATCCTGTGCAGGGAGAGAGAACGGCAGACAGGAACAAGGTGACTTTTGAGTCGACTCAAAAGGCAGCGAACAGCGGCCCGCTTGCAGACGCCATGGATTCCTGTGCAGGGAGAGAGAACGGCAGACAGGAAAACACGAAAGGAGGAGAGAGACTGAATGACAAGACGAAAGCTTGAAAGAGGGGAGACATGGAAGGAGGAAGGAGGGGAAGGCGAGAGGTGGGGCCACATCTGACAGACGGAGATGGGATGGGAGCAAGGAGAGGAGGAGGAGGTTTGGGGACGGATGTAAAGAGAGTAAAGAAAGATGGAGCATGAAGGTAAGAAAGCCACACCAATGTTTCGCCTCTTCTTTCTTTCCTTCACCCACCTTTCTGAAACAAGGGAGGTGGGAGGACCCAGCAGCAGCAGCAGCAGCAGCAGCAGCAGCAGGAGACTTCTGAGGCGCCTCAAAAGTCGTCTCACAGGCAAGAGGCATATTTCCAGTTTTCTTCCTTTAAAACATACCTTTCTGAAGGAAGGGAGGTGGGAGGACCCAGCAGCAGCAGCAGGCGCCCCATGGGAGGGCGTGGGAGGGCGGTTGGGCGGCACTATGCCCCCTCCAGCAGCAGGCTGTTGTTGGCCTGGCGGGCGTTGCATGAGCGAGCTGCGCAGCACAATGGGCGCCAGGCCCATGCTCTCCTCCTCGTCGTCCGAGTCGTCTGTCGTCACTGAGAACCGCCCCTTCTGCTGCACGCCTGCCCGCCCTGCCACTGTTGCTCCCCCTCCTCCTCCTGCCCCTCCCCCACCCCCTCCTCCTCCTCCTCCTCCTCCTCCTCCTCCTCCTCCTCCTCCTCCTCCTCCTCCTCCTCCTCCTACTCCTCCTCCTCCTGCTCCCCCTCCTCCCCTCTCCTCTTTCCCCTTCTCCTCCCGCCCTCTCAATTCCCTGGACCCGCCTCCCTCCTTGCTCCTCTCCTCCCTCCTCTTCTCCTCTCGCACCCTCTCCTCCTTAGGCTTCCCCAGTTCACGGGAAAGCACCCCTCCTTCCCTCGGGCCCGCCTTCTCATCTCTCGTCCGTGTCTCCTTCCCTCGCTCTCCCCTCACTCTCTCCTCTCTTGCTCGCTCCTCTCTCCCCCTCTCCTCCTTCCCCTTCTCCTCTCTCCCCCTCTCCACCTTCCCCCTTTCATCTCTCCTCCGCTCCCTCTCCTCCTCTCTCACCCGCTCCACCCCCCACCTCTCCTCCTTTCCCCCCTCCTCTCTCCCTCGCCCCTCCCGCACCTCTGTGAACCTGCCTGTGGTTCCACCTGGGCCTCTATGAACAGTAAAGCCCCCGCCCCCTGTGGACTCATGTGGGGAGGGCGTACCTGGTGCAGGCTGTATCTGGCCGGAATAGGTCTTCACAGGAGGAGCGCCTCTGCTTGAAAGGGAAGCAGCAAATGAGCCTGCACCAGATGCACCTCCTGTGTTTACGGACAAGGCAGCAGGCGCAGCAACAGAACCACCCGTACGGGCAGCTGGGGCAGAACCGGAATCAGCACCAGCAACGGCACCAGCAGTAATGGCGGCGGCGGCAGCAGCAGCAGGGGGGTTGTCGGCAGGAAGAGAAGCAGCAGAGGTGGTGGCGGGAGCAGCAGCAGTGGCCGGGAGGGAGGAGGTCCCAGAGGGGTGTGTATAGGCAGCAGCAGGGAGAGGAGAGCCGTCCTCGAAATCCGATGGGTCGTTTGCAGTCTCGAATGTGAAGCGCGATGGCAGCTTCCCCACACGAGATGCCTTGGCGCCTGCATGCCTGCTCGCTCAGGGAGCAAAGGGGGGCACCGGGGGGCACAGAGTGGGCACAGGGGGGTAAATGCGGGGAAAGGCGGGCGCTGAGGAGGACAGGGGCACAGGGGGCGCAGAGGGGCACAAGGGGGCGCAGGGAGGTGCAGCGGGGCACAGGGGGGCGGCGGATGACAGCGGAAAGGGGCGCATTGGGGAAGTGAGCGAATAGAGGAGTGGGTAGTTAGGGGTGGGGAGGGGGGAGATAGGGAGGGGTAAAGGAGGGGGAGGGGGAAGGGAGGGGGAGGGAGAGGGGAGGGGGGGCGGAGGAGAAGAGGAATAGGAAGAGAGGAGGGAAGTGGGAAGAGTGAATAAGAAAGGGCACAAAGCATGGAGGCATGGACACACACACGACCATGTCCACGCAACAATTGGTAACCATAACATCACATTTCCCAGCTCTGCTCAGCGAACGGAATACCCTATACCGCACACAACCACCACGTACCGCTCTGCATCTTCCTTCACCAAGAACTGGTCCACTACAATCACTCCGGCTGCTGCTGCAGCCTTGTCGCCCAACAGCGGCCCACTCTTCGCCTTTCCCCTCACCCCCCCCGCCTGCCCCTCCGCCCCCCCCAGGGGAACTCCCGCCTTCCCGTCCCCCCTCGCCCCAACCCCCGCTTCCCTCTCTCCCCGTCCTGTCACAACAGCTGCAAATGCCCCTTCTGCTCCTCCTCCTGCTCCTGCTACTGTTGCTGCTACTGCCCCTGTTGCTGGTCCGCGCGACAACCCAGAAACTCCAGCGACACCAGCACCAGGACCAGCAGCAGCAGCAGCCCCAGAAGCCCCTTTGTCTGGCAAAGGCCCGGACGACCAAGCTCTCCCAGCCAGATGTGCGGAGTCCCCCCCTGCTGTCTCTGCAACACAAGAGACAGCCCTGCCAACAGCCGGATATGCACCGCCACTGGCACCACCAGTTGCTGCAGCAGCAGCGGCCTCTTTTTCCACTCCCCCATCAACCTCAGCCACTGCTGCTGCGCCCGCTGCCCTTACCCCTAGCCCTTTGCTCTCTGCCCGTTGCCCCTTGCGCCAATCCTCCTCCGGACCCTCGTCCAGGGCAGGAAGAGGCCCGGACAGGAACTGCCTGGGGCGAGGCTCCTGGGAGGTAGCACCAGGGCGGGTGCTACCTGCACTAGATGAACCCGTACCATTGCTTATGGTGCCACCACCGCTGCTGCCACTGCTGCTGGTGCCAGTGGGCCCACCGGCAGCAGCAGCAGTCACAGAAGAAGCAGCTGCTGCGGCAGCAGATGCTGAAGTCGCAGCAGCAGAAGCAGCGATAGCGGCAACTGAGTCAGCAGCAGTAGCAGCAGCAGCTGTGGCGGACGGAGGAGCAGCAGCAGCAGGCAGAGGACCACTGACGCTGTCCAGCACCCGCCGACGATCCAACGGCCCTGATCCCTGCTTGGCCAAGCCTCGACTCGGCGCTGCTCCTGTTGCTTCTACTGGGCCTGCTACTGCGGCGGCGGCGGCGGCGCCTGCAGGAGCGCCGGCTGCTGCCCTGCCGGCCGCTGACGAGGCGGAGGACGGCGGCCATGGGGAAACATCTATGTCGCTGTCGGACTGATCGCCTTCTATTACCTGGAACCTTCCTCTGCGATGGGAGCATGGAGCAGGTAGTGAACAGGTGGGGGTAGGACGTAAGATTCTTTTGTGTGTAGACTGGCCTTAAGAAAGCAGAAGAACAGGTGGGTAAGAAAGATGTGTAGAAGATTTTTAGTAATATGAAAACGGGTTGAATCCCAGAATGTGTGTGTTCTCCGATGACCAGAACAAGCCATCGAAGCAAATCTCTGGATTGAACGATTAAGGCATAAAACGAGTCAGCCCTGAATCAAATTAGCAGTTAATTGCGTGATGGGAGTTTTAAATGTTGAGTTTGATACCCTCAGAAAATGCTTACCGCGTGATAGGAGCTTTGGGCGGCATTCCGTCACAAAGAGATGACTTCAGCAGAGAATCCTTTGTCGCCGCAGCGACTTCTGCGGGATTTCAGTTATTGTCGTACCGCAACGACTAATTGCTTATTCGCGATAATGTAGCAGCAGCTGCACAATAAATAACAGGATTAAAAAGCCTCGTCCTTCAACACTAGAACTGATCGCGTCGAAATGGAACTGGAAACAGCGCTATTGCTGGATGCGGAGCGCCTATTCCGACCCGCTATAGATAAGCCGCGAATAAGTCACCTATAGCTTCCGCATTAATATCTTAGTACGCCAAGGAGCACGCGAAAAAAGAAAGAGAGTCCTTCCTCCCGTTCGTAGGCCGGAGTAATCAGCAACCGTTAGCCTCTCTTGTGAGACACTTCCGCAAAACGCGGGAACCAGGTGGGGTGCGACCAACTGTTACGGGTGCAATGAATCGAAGTAGCGAGAATTGCACTAAGGTGTCAAAACGAGTACAAAGATGTGAGCGAAGGCATGAGAGAACATTTATACGCGAACATGCAAACGGTAACGCGGTGCGTGCGAGCTAGCTAGTGCTACGCTGGCAGCGAGGCTCGGGCTAGTCCCGAAGCGTAGGCCGACACGGCCGGGCCAGCAGTGCAAGGTTTGGCAAAACAGTGCGCGCGAAGTTGGCGAAGTCCCATTAGCAGTAACGGGCGAACAACGGCTGTTGCTGTACGGTACGCGATGTAGTCGGGCTCCGTAAGGAATGCCGAGAAAATTCCTTACACCAACCCAGCAGCGTTAGATCATTCAGTAACTTGAGAAATTTGGGAACGACAAATGCCGAGGTTGTGTTGTGTATGAATCGGTCCATTTGAGATATTGAAAAATACCTACACTTGCACATCTTGCAAAGCAGCTTTAGTTATCTACAAAATACAAAATCCTGAACACACCTTCTGTATACACACAATAAATATCTGGACTGTAGGTACAAAGGATCCTAACAACATTAAGCTCCTATCTGTTCTGATGGGGGATGTCCAGAGGTTCCGCTGCTGATGCAGAGCGTAGGAACGACCACAGGTGTTTGCATCAGTATTTGGGTAATCCCAAAGAGTGGTCCAGGTGCAACTTTGGGCCATGAGGGAAGCGAATTCTGGTAGTGGAGCGTACATTAGACACATAAATCCACGAAAAAAACCTTATATTTTGGAACCATATGGAAGTAGGAGCAGGTGGCCTAGCATATAGGAAGTAACAAGTCTGGTGTGAAAACCCAGCGCTGGCAGAATCAAGACTGGCCGTGCCAGGGAGATCTGTCAGAAGCTCCTTACACTCGCTCCCACCGTCCCCTTCACCAAAAGATCGTTAAATGTAACCCCAGCCACTATTGCTTGGTTAACTGTAACCCCAACGTAGAAGGCCGAGGGATTATTGAACAGACCAGCATCGACCAAGAACCTTAAGGACCCGAGTGGCTTGTAAGGCGTAGTGAGCGCTGTGGATTGTGAGCCGGTGCAATTCCAAGTGCCTTTCACACGGTCGACCGTCACGTGGCAGGGAATGTTTGCCACATAGTAACTAGTGGCGCTCTCGTAGAAAGCGGGTAAGGTGGCATAGGCCTTTGGTGCTAGGCCTTCGAAGTGGAAGTCGAAGGAAATGTTTTGAAACTTATCTGTGCTGCAAGGGGAGAGGCGGAGGTGGGGGGGTTGGAGGCCAGGATTCGGAGGGTGTTGGACAGAGAGATAAGCGGTCAACAGAATCGGTGCTGCAAGACCAGTCAATGCTAACATTCAGTAAAGATAATCAGAACATTCCGCAATTCGCTGCCGCTAGTGCTGGAACCTTGACATTGTTAAGCGTGATAAAAAGTACAAAATGAAGTGATCAGTTCGGTGTGGCGCTTACACTTCCGCAAATAGAGAACTTCAAGTTCAGGGTTTAGGGTACGAAAGTTTCGCCAGGCATAGTACGAAATTTAGAGGCAATCCTAGCCATTGCTTGGTCTGCGCGTGATACACCACAGAAGGTAAGGATGTTAAGAAGCACGAAAGGATGACAGTTATCGACGATTGACATTCGTCCTGCCAACGAGATTACAATGCGGCGTGCAACAAGACAGTCTGGCGCGCAAAAAGACAGCGCGGCGAAGTGCAGCGCAACAACACATTGCGACAAGCAACGAGCGAGTGAGGCGTACAGCGTGTGTTGGAGGCTTGGAGCAGATGACGGCCGGCGATGGCGCTGCAGGTGAGCGAGAGCAGCACTGCACGCAGAAAACGACTCGGTTTAGAGAATGGTATCATGGAAAAAAAAAAGGGAATAAAAACAGAATTTGTTGAACGTTTAGCCTCTGACCTAGAACGTTTAAAACGTCAAGCTTTAATTTCCAACCTAGCTCGAAGCAGAGGTCTTGCGCACATAATTCGTGGAACAAAAATCGCAAGAGGGGGGAAGGGATCCAGAGCGACCAAAAACATGCTGGCAATGGCGCTGAGGTACTCACTAGCGAGGACAATCGCGGGTCGAAGAGACGTGTGTGTCATGGCAGGGAAGTATTACTGCTGATAAAAGTTTATGGCGGCACTTCTCAGTGCGACTACGGAGGCTCGAAGTGACGGATAAGATAATAGGCAAAGGACGGCTGGCTTCTCAATCTATAATAGCAGTGGCACGGACAGAACTGAGGAGCATCGTCGCTCCGCGCTGTGCGGCAGAACAGCATGGAACGGGGAACGCCAAACTACCGTGAAAGGTTGCTGTACAGTATAACTAGTGGCTATTTTGGCGCCAAATAACGTGGGGTGCTGCCGTATGTCACGTCACGGCTCAGGGTGCAATAAAACAAAATCATTATGATAATCCGCAGTACCTTTTTCAACCGTTTTAGGATCTAGAAGAAACGCTTTACAGAGTGCAGCAACTTATCGACTCTTTGCGACTCGACTTCGATTCCTTCATGAAACATCTGGTGCCGCCCCTCTTGCCTGAAAGCTGACATGAGTGTTCCAGGAGCCGCATCTCACGCATTTTACCTGCCGCGAAAAACCAGACCAGACATCTCGGAAGCCGCTCTTCGCTAAAAGATAGTTCGCGGCTAAACTAAAGCCTCTAATCCACTACAGTGTACATTGAGAGGAAACAAGGCTCGCAACAGTTTCGCAGATTCATACAGCCTGGCTGTACAGTATAAGAAGCTCCGCAGCACCAGCAAATGTTTAGATTGTGTTACGAGTGCAATTGAGTGAACGAACGAGAATTGCACTATCGAAGCAAGAGTACAATGAGCGATGGCATGAGCGAAGAATATATAGCGAAACTACAGTGGTAACGGTAATGGACTGTGGTTGTCGCGTGACGGGCCTGGGACTGAGGTTGGGAAAAGTGTCGAAGCGGAGGCCCGGAGCGCGGGTTACCCGCCGAGCCGTGAGGTCGGGGTGCGACGTGCGAAGGTGGCGGGAAAATTGTCGATGCGAGGGTTGCGAGTGGTAACGGTGCTGACTGTGGTGCTACAGTGATGTACGCGTTGAGCAGGGACGCGAAGTAAGGAAAAAGAGATTTTCCTTACACTACCCCCCCCCCCCGTTAAGGAGGTCCTCCTTACGAAAGTGCGTGTACATCCCTGAAATTCCGGCTGCGCAGATACTCGGTGAGGACGGGGTGGTTTTCGATTCTGTCCAGGGGAACCCAATTGTCTTCGGTGGGTGTACGGTCCTTCCAGCGGAGTAAGAACTCGATCCTTCGGGCTCCTCGAGGGTCGCGAACTCTGTGACTCAGGATTTTCTCGGGGGTGATGATTGGTTCAGTCGGTGGTCTTGCCATGCTGGCTGGGCGATTGCGTGGCAGTTGGCTCGTGGACGGGACGTAAGGGCGAAGCAGGCTGACGTGGAGCGAGGGGCTGACGTACCAGTCAGCAGGGAGGAGGAGGTGGGCGGTGACAGGTGTAAGCATGTGGCTTATGCGAAATGGCCCGCAGTATCGGGGGCGGAGTTTCGGGGTGATGGGCAGTCGGAGATTTTGGGTGTCGAGCAAAACTAAGTCGTCGGGCTGGTAAGTGACAGGTCTGCGGTGGCGGTCGGCGTTGCGTTTAGCGATGATGTTAGCTTTTTTTATTGCGTCTGCTGCCCTGGTCCGGGCGGCTTGCAAAATTTCGGCGAACTGTTGTGCGCGTGGAACCGGGTTGTCGGGATTCGGGGTCATGGGTACTGTTGGGTCTTGTCCGTAATTCAGGTAAAACGGTGACTGTTGGGTCGTGGCGGATGGGGCGTTGTTGTATGCGAATTCGATGAGTGGCAGTTGCTGTTCCCACGTGTTTGGGTCGTCGCACGTGGCCCGGATGAGCTGTTCCATGGTCTGATTTGTCCGTTCTGTCTGTCCGTCTGTTTCGGGGTGGTACGATAAACTGAACTGTAGTCGCGTGCCGAACTGCTGCCATAGGTTCCGCCAGAAGTTGCTGGTGAATTTCGTGTCTCTGTCGCTGATGATCGATGCTGGTATCCCGTGCAGTCGAACGACGGTAGAGATGAAGAGGCGGGCTGTTTCTTCGGCTGTGATTGATTTTTTGCAGGCTGCGAAGTGTGCCATTTTCGTCAGTCGATCGACGACGACCAGGATCGCGTCATTTCCACCCGCCCCGGCCGGTAACCCCGTGACGAAGTCCATCGTCACCTGCTGCCAAGCACGCTCTGGAGGTGGGATTGGCTGCAACTGTCCCGCCGGCCGCTTCCGTGTTGACTTCATGATCTGGCAAGTGGGACACGATGCCACGTGTCGCTGCACGTTGGTCAACATTTCGGGCCAGTAATAATACCGCTGCAGCTGCTGCCGTGTTTTCTCTACCCCGAAATGTCCCGAGGTAATCCCGTCGTGTGCCTCCTGTAATAGTAATTCCCGTAGCAGTGTGTACCCTGGTACCCAGATGCGGTCGGTCCCGGCTTTTACGTAATAGACTCCCTTGGCCGTTTCGAACTGCTGCGAATTTCCTCCTGTGAAGAATGGGTCTGTTTGATATCCGTGGGTAAATAGTCCTGTCAGTAGCGGGCTGGTCTGGGCGAGTAGTATTGCGTGGATCTGGGCAGTGGGGCGGGTCAGTGCGTCGGCGATGTTCGAGGCTCCTTTTTTATAGGTGACTGTGTAGTGGAAGTTTGACTCGAGGAAATCGAGCCACCGAATCTGTCGTGGGTTGAGGTGGGGCTGTGCGCGGAGGTACTGTGATGATCGGTGGTCTGTCCGTACTGTCACGTCTGCGCCGGTCAAGTAGCAGCGCCACACTTTGAACGCATGCACGATCGCGAGCATTTCGCGGTCGTGTATCGGGTAATTTCGCTCGGGCGGATGCAGTTTTCGTGACTCGTATGCGATGGGCTGTAGGCCGTTGCCGAAGTCCTGTAGCAGTACGGCTCCAATGGCGATGTCGCTTGCGTCTGTAACAACCTCGAAGGGGCGGTGTGGGTCGGCGATGCGCAGGACGGGCGGTGAATAGAGAACATTTTTCAGGGCAGAGAAGGCAGCATGCTCTTTCTCCCCCCACGTAAAAACGACCCCCTTTCGCAATAAATCCGTCAGCGGGGCAGTCAACTGTGCCATGTCGGGGACGAACCGACGAACATAATTAACGAACCCTAAAAAACTCTGCAGTTCCGTGATGTTCGTCGGGGGACGTCACGCTTTTACCGTATCCAGCTTCTTTGGGTCGATTTCAACTCCAGCCTCCGAAATAACGTGCCCCAAAAATTCTAGTCTGTCCCGAAAAAACTCGCACTTAGAGCCCTTGGTTAGTAACTGATGTTCCTCTAAAACTTTAAATACTGCTTCGAGATCCGCTAAATGCTGCTGCTTGTCGCGACTGTAGACGAGGATGTCGTCGAGGTAAACTATCACGCATTTATCTAAGAGTGGCCTAAACGCCTCGTTCATGGTCATCTGAAATGTTGCGGGCGCGTTGGTCAGCCCGAAAGGCATCACCGTGTACTCAAACGACCCGTACCTAGTCCTAAATGCTGTCTTGGCGCAGTCCGATGGTTCGACCCGAATCTGATGGTAACCCCCCCGTAAGTCTATTTTCAAAAACACCCGTGCTGTTCGCAGTTGGTCGATCAGTTCGTCGGCGCGGGGAATGGGGTACCGCGACTTGACTGTTACCCTGTTGAGCGCTCGGTAATCGATGCACATGCGAAACCCTCCGTCTTTTTTCGGTGTGAACAGTATCGGTGCGGCGAACGGTGACGAACTTGGTCGAATAAACTGCTTCGCTAACAAATAATCTAACTGCTTCCTCAGTTCGTCGAGCTCGGGCTGTGTCAGTCTGAACTGGCACTGTACAGTTGGCTGTGCCCCCGGTTCTAACTCGATCCTATGATCGTGCGCCCGCTGAGGTGGCAGCCCTTCCGGTAAGTCGTCTGGAAAAATCCCCGGGTACCGTTTCAACAGTTCCTGTAGTTCGGGCGGTACTGCTGCCAACAGTTTCTGAAAATCGCTCGGCTGCTCCGCTTCTCCTACTAATGCTATATCTACTGCGTACACGTCAGCTCCAGCGGCGACAGCCCGTTTCATCGTGATGGCGTTGACGTGGACCGTTGAAGACTCGGGCGATTGCCAGCGAGGTAGCATGACCCAGTTACCGCTACTTCGCACAGTGCAGCTACCCGTCGTCCAGTCGATTCGTGGGTTGTACCGTCGTAGCCAATCACGTCCCAGTAAAACATCATGCCCATCCAATGTCGTCGCGAGCATTTCCTGTGTAAACCCGAAGTTTCCCCCGCAGCGAACTTTTACTCTCTCCACCTTCTCCCGTATGGCCAGCGGCGTGCCGTCAACTAAGCGTGCGTCGATCTCAGATAAGCAGCGACTAAGTGTCAGTTGTAATTTTCGCGCAGTTGCGGTATTAACTAAACTGTGGCTTGCTCCTCCGTCAATAAAAATCTTCACTGCTGCTCCCTGTATTTTCCCGTGGATCAGTACTGGGCAATCCGTCGTTGTACCCTCCTTATTCATCCGAGCCCGATCGATGGCGTGAATCGGTACTATGACTCGGTGAGGGTCGGTGCGGTTGGGCGAGCAAGCAGTCTCGTCAGTAGTTGGCCCAACTTCTACTGACTGCTGGCGTTTCCCTGCCTCTGAGACTCCCTCCCCTGCTCTGCTCCGCGGCGCCTTAGCTCCTCTGGGCATTCGCTCTTGCGATGGCCCGGCCTGTTGCAAGCAAAGCAGCGCCCCTTAAACGGTGTGGCAGCTGCATTCGTTGCAACAGCGTTTACAGTGGCGTGCTCGATCGGTCCCCGAGGACGATGTCCGTAGTAGGACCCCGGTCTCGGTCGGCGTAGAATGTCGATTTTCTCGGCGAGCGCGAGAATCTCGTTGAAGTTTGAGAGTCCGCGCAGCATGATTTCGTGCGAGATATCCGGCTTCAGCCCTCCGACGTAACGGTCCACCCGCTCCGCTTCGTGCATGTAGCCGACCTGCTCGCAAAGTGCGAGAAAACCGCTCGTGTAATCTTGAACCGACCCGAGCTGCCGCCAAGTGCGCAATCTCTGACGCGCCGAAATAGAAGCCGCGATCGGCTCGAAGCGCGCCCGAAGCCCTGCGCACCACGCATCCCACGTGCTGTATTGGGCGGTCTCGCAGAATGAACTCCAGGTGATAGCTGGGCCCGTGGGCCCTTCCTCTTGCGACGGTGGCTCGTAGGCGCGTGGCGACGTCACGATGACTCGCCACCAGTCCATGGCGGGGCCCCTTAACAGCGAAACGGCATACCGAATCTTCGCTGCGTCCGACTCGACGTAATTCGCGTCGAAGAAGACGTTCATCGTGAAGACCCACGATTGAACCGTCGGACCTCCACGCTGGCTCGGGTCGAAACAGGGCGGGCGTTGCGGCTTGAGTGGCATTGGTGCTATAATGGCCTGTTCGCCACTTGTCGCCGCGAACTCCACGTGCCGACGGGCTTCGCGAGGCTCCCGCGGGCTTGGCGCGCCCCTGTTTCCTCCCATGCCAGGCATTGGTTGGGCGGCGCTATCACTGGCTGCGCCCGAGCGCTGTCCCACGCTGTCGTGTTGTGTTGGTGTCCCGGACGAGATGACGATTGGCTCGTCCGATTGTGCAGGTGCATTTGTTGGTGCGTGTGGTGCTGCTGGAGTGTTCACCGTTGATTGCTGACGCGCGGAGTCACGTTCCGCTGTGAGCATCGCAATTTCGAGCGCCGAATCTTCGAGTTGGCGCTCCAGACGGTCGAGCTGCTCCTGCGTCAATGTGGCGAGCGTGAATTCGGCCATGGCGGGGGTGTCGGGCGAGCTCAGCGAGAGCCTCAGTCGTGGCCGTGCGTGCTTACGAGAGAGCACTACGAGCGGCGGTGCTGTGTCGCTGAGGGACGTCTACCCCCCCCAAAAATTGAGATAGCAGGGAAGCGAAGGTGTGGGTGCGGTCCGAGAAGAGGTCGTAGGCTCTGATACCAAGTGTTACGAGTGCAATTGAGTGAACGAACGAGAATTGCACTATCGAAGCAAGAGTACAATGAGCGAAGGCATGAGCGAAGAATATATAGCGAAACTACAGTGGTAACGGTAATGGACTGTGGTTGTCGCGTGACGGGCCTGGGACTGAGGTTGGGAAAAGTGTCGAAGCGGAGGCCCGAAGCGCGGGTTACCCGCCGAGCCGTGAGGTCGGGGTGCGACGTGCGAAGGTGGCGGGCGGATTGTCGATGCGAGGGTTGCGAGTGGTAACGGTGCTGACTGTGGTGCTACAGTGATGTACGCGTTGAGCAGGGACGCGAAGTAAGGAAAAAGAGATTTTCCTTACAGATTGTAATCTCATTCTCTAAACATAAAGAGAATACTAGAGTGTGTGTATAGGTCCAAAAAAAACTCACGTGGAGTAAAACTCATACCGGTAAGTTGAAATTCTTGGCTATTTTGTATCTAAGGGACGTGATCTTGTAAACGCAGCATGAGATTTGGTCTCAAGCACTGGTCTCAAGAGAGTTTCACTTAATAACTGGATAATGCAACACCTACTGGTACACACAGAAGTAAACACACAGAAGTAAACATAGCTCTCTCACATTGCAGGCATCAGCTCAAAATTGCAAGACATGCCATGCCACTCAGTAGCTGGAATAAGATGCTGAGACTTTCGCCGTCACGAGCACGTCATCAACTTTGAACGAAAAAAGGAAGGCAGTGGGTTGCTTGAACAGCTTAGCGTCGATTAACGTCTTGAGGGTGCCGACAGGCTGGTACGCAGTTGTGAGTGTGGCATTTTCTCCAATGTTGACGTACCGTCATCACCCGGATATAAGACAGTGTTGAATAGTAGACAGGGGTTGTCTACTATACGGGTGTCTCTTATAAACAGGCTAGCCTCATTATAAGACACTTATTTGTGTGTATGAGATAAGACATATATGTCTTATAATCGAAACTTCAATAAATTATAGCGAAAGTTGAAGTACCGCGTACTTTTTTACCCTTGCGAAGCGCGAATTCTTCCACGCGCTGACCCAGGACCTACCAAATTTGCCCATGCAGGTGTTCTCCATAACGTGGCGTCTCGGGCAGAGGTTGTCGAAGTGGCACCTTCGCAACATCCACACGCATTATGAGAAACTCTTTTTAAAGAAGTACGGAAAATATTTCTAAGTAGTTTAAAAAGTTTCCATTTATAAGACTTATAAGACACCCTAAACCATCCCGTTTACAAGATAACTCAAGCATTTTTGCCCGTGTACGAGATAAGACATATATGTCTTATATCCGGGCGATGACGGTAGTAATTGCCGCTTGTTGCGTCAAGCTGGAATGTGCAGGGAAACTCGGCCACGAGGGCGCCAGAGGTGGAGTTATAGTAGCCGGGAGTGGTGAATGTGGGAGTAGAGCCGTCAGGTACCCCTGTAAGCGTGATGGTGAAGGAGGTAGACTGGACAGTGGTCATGCTGCAAGGGGAAACCGGGAGGGGAGGTGAGAGAGGATTGGGGACGACAGTGAGGATGAGAGCATGACAGAAAATGCAGCGCATGCATGCTAACATCGTTTCAGATAATCTAGGCTGCTGCTACCAGTGAGGAGCTTCTTTCTGCGGGTCCAGTGAGTAGTCAATACGATAGTGGGAACGTCTACATAGTCAGATAACCAGCGTTCGGGGTTTTACGCAAAACAACGGGAGAGAATTCAACATGATGTAAGTGGCTTACACGTTGGCACTCAGCGTGGCCTTGCCTCCCAAAACAAAATTAGTAGTGTACAGCTTAGAAAACGCATGATCTGCGCGTCGCGGAAAACGGAGAGCAACAAGGAAGGGGAATAAGGCAGATAGAAGGGTCAGAGGAACACGCGCCAAGAGAGGAGCAACGGAGTTATGGCAGGATAAGCGGAGGAGCATGAACCTGCTCCTCGTGTATCGAGCGTTATTGTAGGTGTGCGGAGGAAGATGTGCAGAAAAGGAGAATGCGTTAACGAGAAGAGAGTGCATGCAGTTACATCATGTTAGTTCGTCCGACGAGAGAGAGTCGTACAGCGAGTGCCGGTAATCTGGAGCAGATGGCGGCCGGCGATGGCGCTGCAGGTGAGAGAGAGCAGCACTGCATGCACGGGACGAACGACGAGCACGAGACGAGGAAATTAGGGTTGGCACTTTACACTCGCGCTGTACTAGCCCCTAGGGATGAGAGCCTCAAGGTCTGATCCTGATTTTTTTCGAATAGTTAATCTTACAAAATCAGATCAGGTAGAAAATCGCACGGCGATCAGACTCTACTCACCAGCCAAAACGAACGCGGGTCGCACCGGTGAGATGCTCGCCATGGCTGGTTGGGAAGCTGTTGCTGGAACTTGCGGGTGACGCCGCAATTTAGGGCCGCACGGTCTGAATGGAGGCTCGAACGGACTGGAATGAATATGTGCGCCGACGGAAAAGACGCTTTATGGCGTGTGCAAAGTGCGCAAAAACTCGACGTCGAGCAACGTCGGTGAATTTCCACCCTCGGATCAAAGGTTCCAACCGTCAGGATTCACCGACGTCCCTCGACGTCGAGTTTGTGCAGCACTTTGTACACGCCATTATGGACAGTCGAGCTGCCTACTCGATATAAACGGAAGCCGCACGTGCAGAGGACAGTGGAGTGGTTGCGACGCGCAGCTGTGCGGCATGACATGCGCTGCTGCTTGACAGGGAGCGCCATGCGCGGATCGTCGTGTCAGATGCCATCGACAATCGCGGGATACGATCGCGATGTCACGGTCAGACTCTCAGGGTGCCTTGGCCTCAGAACTGGTTCTTTTGTGACGAAACATTTCGTGTTGAATAGGCAAAATCGCTACGCTTCTCTCCTATTTCCCCTCCCCTGATGCTCGCCGCATGTGACTCAGAGGCAAGCCAAACTGCGGTCAGGTCAGAAAGTTCGAGAGGTTCACCTGGTGAAGCCTGGAATCTGCTGCCAGCGCCACTAATGCAGGAAGAGCCTGTTGTACAAGCTAATATGTCGCTGGACATCATTGAACCGTTTTAAACCAATATCAAACGTTCTGAAACTTCCGCAATCGTACTGGAAAGATCTACACACCAAACACGCACACCACTTACCTGCTCGATATAGCAAGTTCCGCAGCACCAACCACTTGTCCTGAACTGTAAGCAACTTATCAATAGGATAATTCAAGGGAGTTCACATTATGGGGCTACTACAGGCTAGGTTATTCTAAACATAACCTGTAAAGCACCATATCGCCGAATATCTCAGCGCGTTCAGGTCGTCGCCCGGGGGAGCTCGCACCACAACACTGCACCTTTCACGTTCTCACTTGTGCGATGTTCGGCAGCCACAGGGGATCGACGGGAGGGCATGGGACAGAGGATGAAAACGCCGGGCCTCCTGGTTTGACCTTGACGAACCAGGCAAAACACTACGGTCAGTAGATGAAAAAACGAAAAACATGCCGGAAGTGGGCCAAAAACGCGACGCGAACCCCAACCTAGACATGTGATCGCGCCGCATCCTCCCCATGAACCCCCCCCCCCCTGGCGGAAACTTTCCGCCCCAGTGTCGAGGGATGGAAAGTGGATTCCCGTGAGGTGGACAACCCCACGGGGAATCAGAATTCCATGCCCCAGACGATGGGTATGCTTTTTTAAACACCCATGCACTTTTATTTATCACCCAGATAGAGTTACTAGCCTTTTTTCCCTTGTACCTTAACGGATAATGATAAAAAAAATACATGAAATGAAATTCGGGTGAGGTTTACTTGTTTAAGTGTTGACCTTTAGCAATTGTAAATTAAACGCGAACTAATAAAGAGTAAAATTATCAACAGAAATATCCAGGGTATTTTTCGCAATTTAGGGTGAGGCTTAAAAACAAACCCTCACGGGAACTGTTGACGTCACGAAGGCTCGCGTTTGCAAGGCGTCTGCTTCCGTTGCCCTCCCCCTACCACCCTAGACCTCCGCAATTACCGCCGAGTCCTTCCGCTTGCGCAATGACCTCGAACTTGGCGTCAACTGTGGTTGACCCCAAGTTGACCTGTCACAACTAGGGGCGAGGCTGATATGTTCATACGGCGCGGCTCGGGAAAAACCCCGCCCACGCCTGGGGATGTACGGGGCGCGGAGATATCGCGGGAAGCGTGGGCCGAAGTCGGCCACCCAGGATCACACCAGGTTTGGACCTAGCGCGGCCCTGCGTGGCTCAGTGAAACCCACCAGGCTGCCACCGAAAGCTTCGCGCCCCCCAAAAAACCGAAAGAACCCATCTCGTTCTTACGCGCCGATGCATGCGCGAATCGGTAGAAAACGAATGCGATTGGTCGGTAACATTGACAAGCGGGACATTCCGCGCATGCAACTGCGCGTACGCGAAACCAAAGAAGTGCTACTACTGGTTGTGCTATCTCGCAACTTATCGCGAACAAATTTCGCACAAGGATAGGTTCGGTAAGCACACAACGAGATTCGGTTTGGATACAGCTGGCGCGAACTGGTAGGCTCCATGCTGGCTGACACGTGCAGCAATTTGAACGAGCCACACAGCTGTCGCTGTTTGGTCGATGCGCGATCGCGGTAACGTGTCAAGCACGTCCACGCAGTGTCCGGTCATTACTCCTAGCATGCCCACATTTTCGCATTACGATCGCCAGTTGCACACCAATCTCTTCCCTCTCATGACCCACTGGATTCACCTGACTTAGACGGACAACGGGACACCAGTATCGCGGTTACGTTGTGTGCCGCGCTCGAATGTCCGCGAGCACAACGGTCGCGATGTAGATGGGTCTAAGTCACACCCGGGTGTACATGTAGTGACCGCGCATCATGTTGACGCACGCGGTGAATAGGAGTAGGGGCAATCTCGCACGCTGCATGCATACCGTGAATTGCGTCGCGGCGCCAATACTTCACGACTCCATCAATGCTCCGGGCAACACAACCGCGCAGCAAATCCATAATGCCGAACCGCCTACCGCTCCCGTGCATAGGGTGAACGCGCTCAACCCCACATGGAGCACCCCATACGTGCAGCCCGTGGTTTTTGGGTCGCGGATGCCTGCGTTCCACCCACAGCAACTAGTCAACGGGCTCCACCTAGCACCGCGGCCACAAATACCGTTTGCGGCAGCGACGGTCGCGTTTCAAAATCAACAGGATGATGTTACCGCGCAAGGAGTATCCACGCCTCATCCCGGACCACATGTTATTGGACAACACATCGCGTCCCCGTCCGTGCCCACTAGCTAGCTCTTTGGGATGCCTGTGCGTGGCTTCGTAGGGCCGCAGTACGCGAACGTGGGATTCAGGTACGGGTACATCGGCGTTCAACCAGACCCCATGGTGCACGCATCCGCATCTGTCGCGACGCCTCCTGTCGCGCCGTCAACACCATTCCCCAGCGCGATCCATCCGGAAAGCCAGCCAACGGTGCAAGCCCCGCCAGACCCTAGCGAAGCATTGGTTGTCGGTTTGGACACACGGGCGCGAACAGACGGCCCATCATCGAACGCGCTTGCCGGTGGTTTAGGGCGTGCGTTGAATGGTGGAGCAGGGATGAATGCAAGCGCGCGTGCACATTCGCCGCCAATATAGAACGTGAACTCACTGTTGCCCGGAAACCCCGACGTCCACATCCGCACCCCCGCGCATCCGACTGTAGCGGACGCGACTGGTGTAGGTGGGCAACCAAAGGCGAACGCGGGGAACGCGGGCCGTGGAGCGGGTGCAAGAGGAAACGTGGGAAGGGGAAGAGGGACTGGTGCGAGAGGGAACGCGGGAAGAGGGACTGGTGCGAGAGGGAATGCGGGAAGAGGGACAGGGGAGAGAGGGAACGCGGCTAGAGGGAGAGGTGCGAGAGGAAGGGGTGGGAGAGCGAGCGCGGGACGTGGGACAGGTGTGGGATCGAACGGGGATAGTGCGAACGGGCAGGGAGCGCATGGGGTGACAGGTAACGGCGGCAGGGGTAACGGTGTTAACGCGAACGGCGGTACCGGTAACGGGCCAGTTAATAGACCGCGTATAAGGAGGCGGCGAGTCGATGTCATGCCGTGTGCGGCACGCAACGGCTCCCGGGAGGGGAGCGAGGGGGCAAGCGATGAGGATGACGAGGACGACGCTGACGATGCGGACGATAGTTGGAATGACGATGACGAAAACTACCTCTCGAACTCGCTGTCCGCGCTCAACGAGGAGGAGGCGGAAGACAATGAACGGGTGCGGGGTACGCGGAGGGACATTGAGGTCCCTATCGCGGATTGGAACAGGCTTGGTGTGGACGACACGCCGGCCGCGAAACGAGAGATGTGCTACGGAATCCTATATGGTGTCTCTGAGGCCACGCTGAAGAAGTATCGCGGTTGGGCCAACGAGTACAAGCGGTTCATGGCTCACGAGCTGCCTAAACTGGACGCGGGTAGGTTTGGTGAGGAGGCCGCGTTGAGAAACGCGAACCCCGACGAGATAGGGGCCGCGCTCGAACAGAACATGGGTGGTGACTGGAAGATGGCGGAGGGCGACGAGCAGTGGTCCCACGGCCCTGAGACGAATCCGTGGCGCTTACGCAAATACGTGACCTTCCTCGCGAACGAGACAGTCGCACAGGCGGACAGGATGGCCACACTCAAGCGGCCAGAAAAGACATTGAAGAAGAGACGCCAGTGCACCCCGGCAATGCTGATGGGGCGTCTCAAGGCTTTGAACCTGCTCATCAAGCTGGACGGGGCCATCTTCAGGAAGCCCGTTTTGAACCTGCTGCGCGACTTTGCAGAGTGTCGCATCTGGGTCCGCGTTCAAGTACGCGACCAGTACAAGCGGTTTATCGCGTAAGTATACGTACTCAGTGAACGCGTTTAATGCCCAACAATACCGCGTCCACTAACACCCGCACTATCGTCCAAATCGATGCGCAGGGAACACATGGATCGCCATCGGGGCACGGCCGCGGACACGTACACCCCGGACGAGTTCAAGCATATGATGCGGAAGACCAGCATGGACGCGATCTTGACCAGCTTCACACTAGCCAAGAAAGCATACACGCAGGCAATGCATCGCGACCTCTGCATCCGGACGATGACCGTGCTCGGTCATCACACTCTGGCCCGCGGGTGCACGATCAGAAACCTGCAGCTTCCAGACATGATGATGTGGAAGCTCGGCGCAAAATCCGAGACCGATCCAGTGAGGAACGCGTTCATGTTTGTCTGCGCGTGCAGGACGGGCAAGACAAACAAGGACTTTTCGCTCAACTACATATCTGTTGTGAGGCACATAGATTGGACGCTGTGCGCGGTCGGAGCCACGCTGCTGTGGCTGCACTGGGTGTACGACTTGGTTCCCATCCTCTACGAGGACATAGCCCCCCCTCTCGACTTCACGGAACCCTCGACGTGGTACGATCAATACCTATTCTTCCCCCTTCGTGCGGGCACCGAGAAGCAAATACCGCCCACGACTCATCACGACTGGGCGGCGAAGATTCTCCAGGACGCGGGAATCACATGCTTGCGTGCGGTACACGCGACCAGGGCTGGGGGGGCGCAGCACGTGTCCGCGGACGGAATGCCTTCGGATCAGCTCGCGAGGCAGGGTGGTTGGCGCTTCATCGACGTGATGACTAAGCACTACCTCACAACCATTCCGAGGGAGGCCGTGCTGCTGAAGGCAGGCTTCACCGGGGTTGACGGTGACTAATTCCTTGGTCGCGCAACTGTGCCAGTGAGCCCGGAGTTGGAGAAGCTACTGAGGAAGCACATTTTTCCCTGGGCCGCCCCGGACAAAGGACAGAAACAGGTATGAGTGGGCCGCGCATAATAGTTCCACGCGACCGCGAGCATCCCACACAACCCTCTGGCACCGCGTTCACTACCGCGTTGTTTTCTTGTCACAGTGCAAGGATTACAACCGCAAGATGGTCAAAGAGCAGAAGCCGGAGAAGCAGGACACCGCGGGGCTAAACATACTGAAGGAGCTGGATGGGGACGCTAGGATGGCAATCGCGCAAGACCTGGCGATGTATTACATCCACCAGCTGCGACACCCGTACGTGGTCAACAACCCGCTCTGCCAGATGGAGGAATTTGCGTCGTGGGCTGCAGATGTCTCCTTGGCAAATCAACTCGCCATAGTACAGCGCAACACACCTACACTAACCCAGCCCGCGGTAAGTACTGCATGGTCGCGTTATCTTTCCGGCTGTGATGTCAATGCCAAACCATAACAAGTTCGCGGTCGCTTTCTGTCCATGCAGGAGGTGAGTATCAGAATGGACGCGCAGAACCAAGTGATCTTCCTCACTGAGTACCTGACTCGTTCACAAGCGGACAACACCAGACTGGGCCTAGAGTTGGGCGACTCATAAACGGGTGAAAGAGCTGGAGGGGCTGCTGGAGGATCGCGATCGGAAGCTGGCCGCGAAGGACGAGCGCGTGAATGATTTGGAGGCCCAGCTGTCGCGTCTCACCGTGAGCAGCTCTGGGCCGACCGCGGATCCGAGTCTGGCAGACACTCCTTGTGCCGCGGCCGAGCCTGCAAAGGCCACAACTCCCACCGACCAGGGAACGATGAAGAAACCCGCACAGCCCACGAGGGAAGAGACGATTCGGGACGCGATCGTCCTCCCATGGGTCAACGCGGCAAAACCGTCGGACGGATGGAAGCTTTACAAGTCCACGCACCCGCTGATCGGCGAGAGTCCAAAGTCGCTTATCGCCCAGCCCCGCGGTGCAGTTACGCGGTTGGCCGAGCTTATTGAGAAGGCTGGAGGCGGCCAGAACGCGATAAACCGTGTCAAGCGAGTCATGGACTTCATCGCCCACAGGGTGGAGCAAGGGGACAACCTCGCGGTCGTGCTCGACAAGCTCGACCTCGTGTCTGTAGCCGTGGGCATGTCAGGTGTATCGGAAGGGGTCGCGGTGAAGAAGAAGTGTGTTGACTTGACCCTAAGCGAGCTGAAGAAGGGCTCCCTGGCTGAGGTGCAGTTGCGTGTGAAATGGATGCTTGTACGCGACCACTTCATCGATGCCTCCCTTCCCGCGTCAGAGTTTCCGGTCGCGTGGCCACAGTATTGTACCCAGATGCCACGCCTAGATTAGTGGGGGGGTAAGATCAGATGTTGATCGCGTTCGGGACATGTTTAGTAGACCGCGATTGTGTTTGTGTTTCATGAGAATATACCGTGTGTCGCAATGGAGGCTTCCGAATGTTCCGATTGCGTTACAGAGCAGACGTAAACTGCTCATTGTAACGCGTTCGAATAGTGTGTGTAGTACTGTTGGCTCAACTGATAGCATGTATCGCTCAAGTATTGGTGGCTCAACCATGCATTTGACCTTGTTCGCGAAATCTCAGTTCAAAAAGTGCCGAGGATTACGTGAAACGCCGGTCGCGATCGAGCAAGAGAGTTGCATGACAAAGGTGCACACAGCATAGACAAAATGACCACCGCGAGAAAATCTCAAGCAGGGTAGGCAAGCTACCTATACTATCACAAACAACACAAACAAGTGTCCCTAGAACCCACAGTTCACAACCACTACCACCACGCGACCGCGCCAGCAAACAGGCCCACTTGGTCCCCGGTGACATCGGGCTCCTCGTCTGCAGCCTCCTTTCCCACCGCGGCTGCCCAAGCGACCGCGTTACCGAGGGTGGAACCGGGACGGGTGAAGTCGCGGTAGGCCTTGAACATGTGGTGGTACCTGCAAGCAGGGGGAAAACACGGGACATGGTTAGTCGCGAATGTGACCGCGATCCTGTGAACCCGTGTTCACAAATAACTGAACACACGACCGTACCTGTCAACATTGCCGCAAAGGTTGCGGAGGTGCATGGTGGCGAATAGCCCGGTGCACATCGTCCCGGCCGCGGAGATGTCCTCGGCCCACTCACTCCTCTGCTGCGCAGTCAGCTTGAGGCCGGGGTCAGTCTTCTTGTCGTAACACATGACCGCGATCGCGGTCAGGTACTGCACCTCCTGGAGTGAGTGATGTCCCAGCCAGCGACGCCTCCCCCCCAGCCACGGTTCGCCCACCATCCCCTCTCCACCCCTGGGCGGAGGGTGGATACCACAGCCCTTGCGCTTGCCGCTAGTGCCGCTGGTGTCGCTTGGCCCCATGAACCTCTGCCACACCAGCTCAACAACATCATTCTCGTCCGAGTCGTCGTCGTCCTCGTGTTCCGCCTTCAACGCGGCCGGAGGCGGCTTACAACCACTGCGGCCCTGATTCTTCGCCTTCACATCTGCAGAGGGGGGGATTGCAGGGGCGATGGAGCTGGGTCCAGGCTGTCCATCAGCGACCGCGGAGGTGTTACCAGCCGCGGGCACTGTCGCGGTCGTGTTGGCGGTGGTGGTGGGGGTGGTGTTTGGCGGGGCGTCCTCGACCTTGCCCTTGCCTTTAGCAGCTTCAACCGCCGAGGGGGCAGGCGGTGGTCCGGCAGCCGCATCCACCCTGGTGGTTCCCGCTGCACGCACGACGACCGCGCCCCCTATCTTAAGGAGATCTGTGACGCTAGTCGCCACGGGACCTTTCTGCCGCTTCCCTCCCCTGCTGCTCTCACCCTTCCCTGTGTCCTTGTCCGCGACCCTCTTACCTGTGTCCTTGTCCGCAGCCTTCTTCCCTGTCTCCCTCTTCACCGTTTCTTTCTCCGCGACCCTCTTCCCTGCCTCTTTCTCCGCGACCTCGTGTGACTCCTTCCCCTGCGGCCCATCGGTGACTAGTCGCGGTGCGTCACGCCCGGAAAGCATCGCGATGATGATGTTGAGAGAGTTGGTGACGCCGCTTGTGGTGATCGCTTTCTCGGCGGTTCCTGCGATGTTGGATGACGCGCCGTCGATCTTACGGGCGACCTCATCCGTCAGCTTCTTCTGGGCGTTCTCCATGGAGTCCACAACCACCCCCTTCATGCTAGCCGCGCAATCTTCCAAGCGGACAGCAGCGCGTTTCAGCACCTCCCGCATGTCGCGATTCTCCGCCCTGTCCTTCGCGGCCAGCTTGGCTTCCCTGCGCATCACCCGTTCCGTGTTCTGCACGTGAAGCAGCGCCTTCTCCACCGTAGCCACGAGCTCGTCGTAGCTCTGCGTGATCACCACCGCGTGTTCTGTGCCTGGCTTTGCGGACACGACCTCGTCCAGCTTGCGCTTCTGATTTTTCACCTGCTCGTCCAAGCGGAGGATCTCCGCGGCCAGCTTAGCAGGATCCATCTTCACCAGCTCCGAGTGTTTACGCTTGCCGGCGACCGGACTCTTGCCCGCATACTCTGTAGACGGGGTCGCGCTACCGTGATGGGGGGACAGCACAGCCTGCAGACCACGAATACTCTTCCCTGCACCCACGACCGCGCTCGCCGCCCGCCCGGCATTGTTGGTCGCGAGGGTTTCCTCCACTGCTTCCTCCTCTTCCTCATCCTCTTCGTCGTCCTCTTCCCCCTCCAGTTCTTCCGAACCCTCCAGCTCCAAATCACCGCGCTGGTCATCCTCCGCAGCGTCCCCTTCGTCCTGTCCGCGACCCTGTCCCTCTGCCTCGTCGGCCTCCTCCCGCGCCTTCTTGGCACCTAGACCCTGCGTCGCGTTTACAGGGGCGTCCTCATCGCGGTCAGAGCTCGAGCCCTCCTCCTTGTCCGGCTTCCCCTGCTCCCCCTCCCCTGCGTTCGCGAGGGCAAGCGTTGTATTGAGTGCGAGTGCATCGCGACCCGAAACATGTGATCCCGCCGGCTGTTCGTGCGACCTCAAACGTTCATGGCCATGAGCATCCCCCCTCATGGCCGTCCGCGATCCCGCACCTGGACCTGAACGCGAGCTCCTCCGCAACGCGTTTCGCATCCTGCCGCAATGTGGTCAGAGTCCTGGCAATTGGCTTGGCGATGCGAGGCGTGTCAAAGGTCCACTGGTGATCCCCGATTGATCCTAGGGAAGGGTTACAGGCACGTTGGCCTGGGAGGTTATGGGCGCACTTACCCGCTACTAAACAAGCCCTTTTATCCCAATGGTCTAGTGGTTGGGATTCTGACATGCTATCAGAGCGAAGGTCTCGGGTTTGAATCCCAGTGTGTGCACTTCGGGCATCCCAGTGCGGGGGGGTGTCAGAGGTCCACTGGTGATCCCCGATTGATCCTAGGGAAGGGTTACAGGCACGTTGGCCTGGGGGGTTATGGGCGCACTTACCCGCTACTAAACAAGCCCTTTTATCCCAATGGTCTAGTAGTTGGGATTCTGACAAGGCGCAGGGTCGTGTCCAACAACCGCGTCAAGGTCGTTAAGAACTCTGTCGAACGCGTACGCACATGCGAGTGGACCGCAAGGGGCCTTCCAGGAAGAAATATCCTGAAAGGAAACCGTGAAGATGGCGTGTTGCGTTAGGGCTCTGCGACGTAACAAACGCGACCAAAACAAACGCGAACATTCTACATGCTCACCAGGTCCACGAGGCGCGACGGATCTCCCAGCTTCCCAGAACGGTCGCACTGGACCGAATCGCTCCCGTAGCAAATGCAAACACGACCGTGAAACCACCTGCACGGTTCACATGGATGGGGGCAGCGCGAGCAACAGGCAGGGGGTGGCACTGCGCGTGGTGGGGAGGAACCCGCGCGCCCCTTCGGACATCCCGAGGTGAGTGCGTTCCCGTTCATGCATGCGGGTGGAACTGTCAGAATGTTATTACCTAGCCTGTAGTGGGGTGCTCTATAGCGAGTACAACCGTGTTAGGGTTTGCTATATGTATCCCAACTGCTGCTAGTGAAACCCTCCTTTGTTCATTTCTCTCTTGCCTAGCTAGCTAAACCCTAGCTATGGCTCCTCACTGTGCTCACTATTCTCACATGGTATCAGAGCATCTACGCTCCTGGCCTGTGGGCCCACCTAACTGCTTCCGCTGCTACTCTGTGTGTTGCACGCCCCGTGGCGTGCGACGGATTTTTCTTCCCGCCGCGCGCTCGGAGCGTGCGGCGGTCTTCTGCCCGCCGTGCGCCCCGAGGCGCGCGGCGGTTTTCTGCCCGCCGTGCGCCCCGGGGCGTGCGGCGGTTCTCTGCCCGCCGAGCGCCCCGGGGCGCGCGGCGGCCTTCTACCTCGTCGGTCCGCGCGTCGCCCCCGGGGGGCGCTTCGACGGGCGACGGGGACCAGCCCGTCGTCCCCCGTCGCCCGTCCCGGCCAGCGCGGGCTGCACTAGCCCCGAGCGCGGCCCGTACGGGCTGCGCCCGGCCCGCGCGCGGCCCGTACGGGCTGCGCCAGGCCCGCGCGCGGCTCGGGCCGCCTGCGCGCGGTTCGTCGGGCTGTGCCAGGCCCGTGGGCGGCCCGTTCCTCTCTGCCCCTGAGCTGCTCGCTGTCCCCCGTGTTTCTGACGGTGCCCCACCCCTACTGCTGCCCGTTCTCCTGAATTAGGGTTTGGGGGTGGGGGGTATGGGGGTGCAGTTTCTGTGCGCCGTTCCACTACTTCTCCTCCTCCTCCGTCTCCCGCTGCTGCAGCTGCCGCTCAGGGGGGTGGGTGTGTGGGAGCCGAAGGAGTGGTGCTAGGGGGGTGACGTGGGAGTGGAGTTAGGGGTTCAGCAGGGGGTGTGTGTCAAGGGTGTGGGTCAGTTGGAGGAGGTTGTGTGGAGGTAGCTGTCGTGTCGCCTGCAGCGCCTGTAGTCCGTCGCCCTTGCTTCGGTAGCCAGTGAGCCTGTTGCACCAGTCGCCAGTGGGTCCGTTGCTCCTGCCGCTCGTCTTAGCCGCGGAGCCAGTCACTCCAGTAGTCCGTCGCCCTTGCTTCGGTAGCCACTGAGTCAGCCGCTCTTGTGCCCGTGCCTCTGCAGCTTCAGTCGTTGCCTCCCATCTTCTCTCCTTCCACAGTTCCTCCTCCTCCTCACTTGCCCTCTGTGATAGCCTCTAGCTTTGCTTGCATTTGTGAACCTGCTCTATGACTGCGTGCTCTGCTGATTACACCCCACTTTGGCTATGGGGGTGTGTCAGAATGTTATTATCTAGCCTGTAGTGGGGTGCTCTATAGCGAGTACAACCCTGTTAGGGTTTGCTATATGTATCCCAACTGCTGCTAGTGAAACCCTCCTTTGTTCATTTCTCTCTTGCCTAGCTAGCTAAACCCTAGCTATGGCTCCTCACTGTGCTCACTATTCTCACAGGAACCACGTCCCGCCATGTAGCACTCCGACCGCGGACTGCATGCAAGGGGCGACGGTTACCACCTCGGGCGGGGTGTATTCCTCGACGCGTCCGCCAAAAAGCTGGGTAACGATCCGAAACTACCACTTTTTACACAGACGAATAATACAGTACACGAGTGAAAAAAATGTAAATCGCGTTTAATTGACTTGGCAAAACGCACCACGCGTCACTTAAAAAAAAACAAAAAACAAAAACAAAATGTGTGGGGGATTCTAATTCGCAGAATAAGTGAGGGGGGTTGGTTGATCTTATGGGAAAAGTCACGTGAAGGACTATATATACCGTTCAATCGCGTTTACGATTTGCGAATAATAAAAAAAGTGTAACAACAGTACGTTGGGTGAACACTCTCCTGAATTGCGGATAATTTGTGGGCGAACACTGGCTACCCTTCGCACGCGCGAAGAGTATTTCGGGGTGGGCTTGCGAACCAGGCAGGGCCCAAAATTCAAGGGTGTTTTACCCTTTCTACCCTTGCTATGGGCCGCTTTTCCAGGATTGCCCTGATTTAGTAAGTGTATTTGCCAAACGACCCTGACTTTAAAAATGTAGTTTTTGAAATACACTTTCAAAATCAGGCCTCCCCGAGTTTTCCCTTGACGAGTCAGGGTACTTTTTGAAATGCACTGAAACAGACTTCCTTCGTGTCGTTTCTGTGCAACAGGGCCCGTGTGGCCACTCGACCGAGATTGGTTACAAAACTGGCCCCAGCAGTCACTTTCGCACTGTCAGCTCTACAAAACACACCACACCACAAGTTGTGAATCAAGAAAACAGGAATGAAATGACTAAGTGAAAGTTGGGTACAAAAGGCAAACCCTAGGCAACTGTACCCCATATGTGCTACCCCACTGTAGCCTACAGTAGCTATGTCATATAACTCTGACACACCCCCATAGGCAAAGTGGGGGAGAACAAGGGGTCACAAGACCAGTCAAGCAAAGCAAAGCAAGCTCAGGGTGGATCACAAAGTCACCACACATTCCGAGCACAAGTTCAAGGCCACAAGGCCAGTTCACATGCAGGATTACATATATATATAAGGCTAGACAAGCAAGAGCAGGAGTATATATATATGCAACAGTACAAACAAGGTCAAGAGGTGAGCAAGTGAGGCAAGGTAGGTACAAGACCCAGCTGAGTACAGAAGCGCTGATGATCACAAGGCGCAAGTGCCTTGGTGAAGATATCAGCAGTGTTGGCCTCAGAGGCCACGTACGCAAGTCGCAGCTGACCACGCTGCTGTAGCTCACGAGCAAGGAAGTAGCGAAGAGCAATGTGCTTCGTTCTGTGCTCCAGTCTCTGCTCTCGACACAAGGCCAGCATGGCCTTGTTGTCTACGTAGAGCACTGGAGGAGAACGAGGCGGCTCTCCGAGGTCAGTCAGCAGGTAGGTGAGCCAGCGAAGCTCCTGTGCAGCCATGGCCCCGGCGTAGATCTCAGCCTCACAACTGGAGCCGAGAACAGAAGACGAGCGAGTAGCCCGCCACGAAACAGAGCCGGAACCAAGGCTGAAGGTGTAACCCTGTGACGACCGCTGCGTAGCCTGGTCGTCAGCCCAAGAAGCGTCTGCGTGTCCAGTGAGGACCACTGGACTCTGCCCTCCAAGCACAAGCCCCATGCCCGACGTACTGCACAAGTAGCGCAACACCCTCTTCGCTGCAGCCATGTGCTCCGGTCTGTGTCTCCCAGGAGCAACATAGCGTGCAAGAATGCTAAGAGAGTATGCAAGGTCAGGTCGTGTGCAGGTCATCAGGTACATGAGGCAGCCAACAAGCTCTGGGTACGGGCCACTCGACTCTACGGACTCATCCGAAGGCAGAGCTGAGAGCGAGTGGCGAGTAGGCAGAGGAGTGGCCTGAGGCGAGGAGTACGTGAAGCCGAAGCGCTGAAGGACCTGCTGCACCATGTGTGACTGAGTCAGGGTAATGGTGCGGCGTGCTCTGTCCCGGGTGATCTGCAAGCCAAGGTAGCTGCGCAGTTCACCCAGGTCTGTGCACGTGTGTCTCTTCTGCAGCTCAGACTTCACGTGGGCGAGTCCAGCAGTGTCAGCTGTGGCAAAGACCAAGTCGTCGACGTACACGAGGATGTAGAACGGCTGCAAAGAAGTGTCGGTGCGCAGAAACAGCGACGGGTCGGCAGTAGAGGGAGCAAACCCAAGAGCCGCAAGTGTAGTCCTCAGTGTGTCGTGCCACTCACGCGGTGCCTGGCGGAGACCGTAGACTGGCCGCCGGAGGCTCCACTGGGTGCCAGGAGGAAAAGACCCAGTGAAGCCAGGTGGGCGACGCAGCCAGATCTCCTCGTGCAGGCTGCCCTGCAAGAAAGCAGTGCTGAAGTCAAGAGAGTGCAGCTCGTAGTCGCGGTGAGCAGCTATGTGCAGCAGTACCCGAAGAGTGGTCATCTTCGGGGTGGGAGAGAAGGTCTGAAAGTAGTCAACTCCCTGCCGCTGACTGAAGCCACGAGCCACGTAACGCGCCTTGAAGACAGGCGGAGAACCCGGCGGCCGCTTCACCCTGAAAATCCACATGCCACTGACGATGTTCGCCCCAGGCGGGGGAACCTCGTCAACGTAGGTGCCTGTGGACTTCCAGGAAGCCATCTCTG